TAGTAGTAAAAAAATTATGATAAAAAATTATTTATTTTTATACATATGGATGTCTCTGGCACGAGTGTTGAGTTGTTGAACAAGAGTATTAAATGAAATTGTTGGGAATACTTATATTCATGCTGTTGTTTTTTGATTTTTTAATACATGGCGAACAAAAAAATAATTGTTATATAAAATTTATTTTATTTCAACGAAACCTCCACAAGCCATACAAAAAAGTGCGTTTTATTATATTTCTTATTGGAAAGAGAAAAGCCTAGACGATAGAAAGATTACCCTACTGCTGTTTTGAGTAAAATAAATAATTTAAGGTTTCAGTTGAAGTAATTCTTACAAAGACGTCTTGATTGCTACTGATTGTTTTGTCTGACAAATAAAAGTTTTTTTTCTATACATTTAACAACAAATACAAATATTATACATAATTAAGAATGTTTTGTTCAAAAGTAATTTCTAAACAGATTAAAGTCATGAAGGTCATATGAAATGTTAAACTTATTTATATAAAAACAAAAATATATTTAATTGACATTTTTAGCAGACAAACTCAGTGGGTTTTAATTAAATTACAAAAGAAAAAACACGAAATATTATTAACAAAATGTTATGCTTTACATTTGTTTTTGCAACTCCTCCTAAAAGTATGCTTAGAAGAAGCAATTTATGTAGAAAGTTTTAAAAGTTTAATACAATTATATTTGTTGCGTTTATTTTGTTAATTGCAATAAATTGCTTAAAATATTAACTAGAAAAGTTTTATTTAAACAATTTCAATTTAAAAATTCTTATAAATTCTTTCTCCTACCTAAATGTTTCCTTTAATTTACTATAAATCTAAAAATTTATTTTCTCTTTCCCCTAAAAGTATACAGCACTTATCTCTTTTATTATCTTATTGCATATCAGAGCAATAAAATAATTTAACCCACGTTTTTATCTCGATGTTTTGCGTTTTCATTCCAAAAATATCCAGACACATTATTTCGTAGACAGGTACTACATTGCAAATGTTAGACATGTTGTAGTTTAATAAACGTAAATAGACAGTTTTTTCGTTATAAAAACAAATAGACTAACATTTTCTTTTAACATCTTTAGACATTAACAGAAGAACAACAAAATATAACAAGACATGAGAAATCGACCTTCAACTTAATGGCGAAAAGAAAATAGAATAAATAAATAAAAAAGCTTTTAAACTAGATTATTAAATGAATCGCATTAGTATACAGAAGAAAATACTTATTTGTTAGAAATATTATTAGATTGTTAAAAGTTAATGGAAAAACTTGATTGAATGAGTATAAAAATTCAATACTAAATAACTAAAAAATAGAAAGTCTCTAAATGTTAATAAGAAAGCTCTTAGTTCATGTATGATGTTAATAAACAAAACCTTTACTATAAAAGCTTCTAACTAGAAATGTTTCAGTTTATAGCATATTTAATAAGGAAAGCTGTAAGACGTTAAAAGCTTCTTATACAAAAACTGTAACTAAAATTAGCTTATAGTTCTTAAAAGCTCTTAATAAGAAAGCTTTCAGTCCATATAATTTCTTTTTTCCATATAATCTTTACTTTAAAAGCATTCAGGTCATATGTTAGTAAGAAAGCTTTTAGTCCATGTATGATGTTAATAAAAAAAGCCTTTACTACAAAAGCTCCTAACTAGAAAGGTTTCAGTTTATAACATATTTAATTAAGAAAGCTGTAAGACGATAAAAGCTTCTAATACAAAAGCTGTAACTAAAATTAGCTTATAGTTCTTAAAAGCTCTTAATAAGAAAGCTTTCAGTCCATATAATTTCTTTTTCCATATAATCTTTACTTTAAAAGCATTCAGGTCATATGTTAATAAGAAAGCTTTTAGTCCATGTATGATGTTAATAAAAAAAGCCTTTACTACAAAAGCTCCTAACTAGAAAGGTTTCAGTTTATAACATATTTAATTAAGAAAGCTGTAAGACGATAAAAGCTTCTTATACAAAAGCTATAACTAAAATTAGCTTATAGTTCTTAAAAGCTCTTAGTAAGAAAGCTTTAAGACTATACATTTTATTTTATAATTTAATCTTTACATTAAAAGCATTCAGGTTATATGTTAATAAGAAAGCTTTTAGTTAATAAAAAAGCCTTAACTACGGAAGCTTCTAACTAGAAAGTTTTCTGTTTATAAAGCTTCTCTTTTCAAATAATCTTTACATTAAAAGTATTCAGTTTATATACATTGTTATTTAACAAGAAAGCTTTCATTTTAAAAGCTCCCAACAAGAAAGCTTTTTGGTTTTATACATGTTTGCTATTAGGAAGCTTTTTGTTCAAAATCTCCTTATATGCAACATATTACCTAGAAAGCTCCTCATACGAAAGCTTTTACTTCTAAGGCTGTTAAAGGAACTTTTAGTTTCTACCAGTTTTTATAAAGCAATATTATAGTTCAAGAGATCCTGCTACGAAAGCTTTTAAATATTAAAAGCTTTCAACAAAAGCTTTGCATATGGAACGTAAGACATGTTTCCTCTGGCACATTTGTCTCCTGTTAGTTCTTTTACAAGGCAATGCTTAATTTTTCAATAAATACACTTTTAAATCTTTAGCTTTCTATATAAGATTACTGTGAAATCATGTTACAAACCTTTTCTTAATATCCCTTTTCCAATTTTTCCAATAAAGTAGAGTATTACCTGGCAAAAAAGTGATAAAGGTTTAATATGAAAAAATGCTTTACGAGACATACAATTGTAATATATGTGAAAACAAACAAACAAACAGACAAGTAAACAGTAACGCACATGAATAAATATATACAATTTCCCGATACTTAACAAGAAGTCATTGTACACTTTTTATGCTCCCAAAGGGATTAAAGCTTGGTAGACATAATGTATAAATATGTACATATGTATATGAGTCATTTGACATTAATTTATACTTTCCACGTCTCCAGATAAAGTAGAAAGTAGCATTTAGAATATTTTACTGCACTGAATCTAAGAAATAAAAGGCTCTTAATAAGAAAGCTTTTAGTTCTTAAGTTTGTAATGAGATCTTAAAGGAATTATATAATAACGATTTAAGCTTTAAAGCTTCTAGTATAAAAACTTTTAGTACTTAGCTCAAAAGCTTGTCATAAGAAAGCTTTCAACCTTAGTTAGAAATCTTCATAAAAAAACCCTGTAAACCTAAACTATATATCTTTCAGTTCTTAAGAAATTTTCTTATAAGAAAGCTGTAAACCTAAACAAGAAGCTTTTAGTTTTGAAAAGCTTCTAATAAGAAGCCTTTTAGTTTTCAAAAGCTTTTAATAAGTTTGTAGTTCTTAAAAGTTAATAAGAAGGCTTTTAGTCCTTAAAAGTTTCTAATAGGAAAGTTTTAAAAAGCTATTAATCAAAAAACTTTTAGTTTTTCTTTAGTTTTAAAAAGCTTATAATAAGAAAGCTTTTAGTACTTAAAAGCTTCTAATTAGAAAGCTTTTAGTACTTAAAAGCTTGTAATGAGAAAGCTTTTAGTTCTTAAAAGCTTCTAATAAGAAAGCTTTTAGTTCTTAAAAGCTTTTATAATAAGAAAGCTTTTAGTTTTAAATGCTTCTAATAAGAAACAGATTAGTTCTTAAAAGCTTTTAATAAGAAAGGTTTTAAAATTTAAAAGATTATATTAAAAAACTTCTCAGTTCTTAAAAGCTTCTAATAAGAAAACTGAGAAAGCTTTTAGTTCTTAAAAGCTTCTAATAAGAAAGCTTTTAGTACTTAAAAGCTTCTAATGAGAAAGCTTTTAATGCTTAAAAGCTTCAAATAAGAAAGCTTTTAATGTTTAAAAGCTTCTAATAAGAAAGCTTTTAGTACTTAAAATATCCTATAGAGAAAGCTTTTAGTTCATAAAAGCTTCTAATAAAAAGCTTTTAGTTCATAAAAGCTTCTAATAAAAAGCTTTTAGTTCATAAAAGCTTCTAATAAAAAGCTTTTAGTTCGTAAAAGCTTCATATAACCCACCAAGTACTTAATATTCTGTAAAATCAATTGTTCATTTGTAATCACAGTGAAATTTGATAGTAATTTACTATCTGTGTAGAGATTGTTGTGTTCCTAGAGGAAGAGTAGACCTTCTCGAACTGTAGGGTTGTAAATACTAACACACATACTTATGCACAAATAAAGAGAGACACTTGTGTTTACATAAAAAACACTTATAACGCACAGGTATTATAAACAAACATGTTGTACATATGACAGCCGCCTATAAGTATGCCACAAAAAATATGTTGCACGTTTACAGTCATGTTTGTCAAGGGGACAAAAGTACAATGTTTGTCTGGAATGTGTCTGTGTGTGCGTATTTTTTCATTATATTACAATTTGTATTGCAATTCATGGATGGTTTGTTAATGCAACTACTACTACTGCTGCCGCTGCTGGGAGTTGTACGGAAAACAATTGCAAACCAAAGGAAGTTTGTATCCTTCCGCTTACGTTCATTTTATAAATAAATGTGTGTACAAATATATGTATAAATTTGAGGTTTTTGGTTGGGAAATGTTTTTTCTCTGCTCCCTGCCTTATTTTATATTATAAAATATTTTTCTGTTGCTTTTTTGCCAGCCATTATATTAAAGAATTTAAATTAAAATTTTACGCATACACTCGAGGAAAAATATGTAATTGAAAACTGAAAACAAATAAAGAAACGCACTGAAAAAAGAGTCATAAAGAACTGTGTTAATTAGCACGCTCCAATATGCAGGAGAAAATATACGGTCTATCTGTATATCATTACCGGCAGTACATTCTTGTCTGCTGTATGTACTGAAAGTATGCGATAAATGTGTCCATAAAAGAAATTACTCACACAAAAAGTATGCAATAAAAATTTTTAACTTATTATTGATATTTGTTCAATAACATTAAATTATAAAAAAATTTACGCGAAAAATTCCTTTTTTCATTTAGAGGCATATTTTTTTAATGGATTTTCCTTAATCTGCTTGGGGTTTCATTTTAGGTATCGTAATGGCGAAGTGGTCAATGTTAATGATACGGAGCGCTATGAAGGTGGTAATTCAGAGAATGTAGCCTTGGTTATACGTTCTACCGAGAAACAGGATATTGGTAATTATACCTGTCAATTGTCGAATGCCATTGGCAAAGGTGTTTCCGAACAACAAATTGATTTGGATGTACAATGTAAGTTTGTGTGAAATGTAATATTTTTCAACAACCAATATTTTATTTATAAATTTAAACATCTTTCCCTTCCTACGCAATTTTAACTTTATTTTTTTTATAGATGTACCAATTGTTGAAGTTTTGATGATACCCGAGGGTCCTGTCAAAGAAAGTGACGAATCGAATGTTACTTTATTTTGTAATATCTTAGATGCCAATCCATCGGTTTTAACTAAAGTTCGTTGGTATGCCAATTCAACATTGCTCAAGGAATTGCCAGATTGTGAAGAGACTAGGGTAGGTTTAAGGTTTTGTTGTTTTCCTTTTGCTTCAATTTGTTCTTGTACAAAAGTTTTTATTTAATATTTTTCTTGTTAATATTACAATTTCTTTTTTTATTATTATTATTATATTTTGTAGGAGGATTTATGTCATATCGATCCTAGTAAATTGCTATTGGAAAGTATAGGACGTGGCTTTTTCTATAATTATTCCTGTGAGGGTTACAATGCTGCCGGCTGGGGACCACGCAGTGAAGATAAAGAATTGTTGGTAAGTTAATAAAGCAAGAAAAAATAATAACTTTATTAGAAATATTACAAATTTAAAATTAAAGATCTTAAAGAAGACAAGCAGATATTATCTTAATGCATTGAAAGCTATGTATTTAAAAGCTTTTAATAGTTTTTTATACTAAAAATAAAATAAAACGCATAATACCTTCTGCTAAATATTTCGTCTTTTAAGATATGAAGTTATTATATAAAGTTTAGTATATTCAAAGCTATTTGAGAAAAAGCTCAATAACTTATTATAAAAAGCTTTAAGATAGCCTTCAACGTTTTAGTATCTTTTGAATTATTGCAAATATTTTACAAATTATTAAAATTTCTTAAAAAAAAACGGCTAGATTTTCTTAAAAGCTTGAATATTTTAATAAATGTCTTAAGATTAGCTCAAAAGCTTTAAGATTTTCTTGAATGCTTTAATATTTTTTAAAAACTTTATGATTTTCCTAAAAAATTGTCAAATCTCAATGTATCTGCACTAAAAGTTATGATTTTTTGAAAGTTTTACTCAAAGCTTTTCGACCTTTCAAAAGCTTTTTTGCAAGCTTTTATTACTTTTCAAAGTTTTTATCAAAGGATAAAATTAAAAAAAAAAACTTTTACATTAAGCGAAAAGCTTAACTATTTTCAAAAGCTTTAAGTTCTCTTAAAAGCTTAAAGTGTTTGTTTCATACTGACTTAAAATTAAAAGCTTGACACTAAGTTCAAAAAGTTCTGTTTTCAAATCAAAACTTTTGTATTCTTCTAATCAGAAAGCTTTTTAATTTCTTATAATTTATCAAAGGCTTTTTGTTTACATTAATTTAAAAGCTTTTCATAATTATAATGTATTTAATAGAAATTGTAAATATATTTTGTGAGCTTTTTATTATATATTATTTTTCAAAAGCTTTATGTTATACAAAGTTCAAATCAAAGCTTTACTTAAAAGCTTTAAGTTAGCTTTAAATATGTCAAGCTTTTCCAAAAACATTTTGCATAAACTGTCTTGACATCAAAAGCTTATTATTTACAGTTATTCAAAAAGAAAAGCTTTTTGTTCACAAGTCGTTCAAATCAAAAGCTCTTTAATTCTAACGGTCTTTTAAATCATAAGCTTTGAAATTAAAATTTTTCTAAAACAAAAGCTTTCATATTTCCAATAAGTTTTTAAAGCTTTTTGTTCAAATTAGTTTGAAAGAAAAAGCTTTTTATTTATAAATTATTCAAAATCAAAAGCTTTTTGTTTATTGTAAACTCTTTAATTTTAACTGTCTTCAAATTAAAAGTTTCCAAATCAAAAACTTTCTTATTTCGCCTAACTTTTAAAAAGCTTTTAGTTTAATCTGACCTCAATTCAAAAGCTTTTTATTTAAAAACAAATAAAAATCAAAAGCTTTCTGTTTGCAATAAATATCTCTTAAATTTTAATTGCCTTCGAATCAAAAGTTTTGTATATAAAATATTTATAAATTTCTAAAGCTTTTACAATATAATTAATAATTTTGACAGCTTTTCGGTTAAGTCCAGATGGTTCCATAAGCGTTTAGTGAAACAGAAGTAGAAAATGCTTAAACAAACAATGTTCAACTTTAAAAGTTTTTCTCTAAAGCCTTACATTTTTTTTAAAGAAAGCATTGAGTTTGAAGTTTGTCATATCATGAAAAAACACACAAGTTTTTTTCAACTGAATGTTTAAGTTTTTTAGTTATTTAAACTGCTTAAGAGCTTTTGGTTTTTGCATAAATCGCTTTTAGATTGAAGATATTTTAAATATTGTTTCTTTAGTTGATTGCACTCTGAAAGTATTTCTTATATTAATTAAAAGCTATTAGATATTATGTAGTAGATATTAGTAGATATTATGAAACAAACACTAAATAGTTTATTCATTAAACATTTCCTTCCATCTTCTCCACAGGTACACTACGAACCCGGACCAGCAACTTTAACACATTTTCCCTTAATTGCTGTTAAAAAGAAGAGTGTTACTTTTTCATGTTCCGTAGATGATCCCGGTTATCCCGAATCAAATAGGTTTGTACAAGAAACATCCATAATAAGAAATCATACACAAAATCCTTTAACAAATAAATATCAAACATACCAAAACTCACAAACACATTATACATCAACGATATCAAAAACAAGTTTAACCAATAACAAAGCACAATCATCAATGTCATTATTATCATCATCATCATCATCGTCGGCAACATCATTGCCATTAACATCAACACTACCACTAGCATTGCCACAAATTCACTTTTATACCATACAAGCTTTAACTGCTTCTGAAATTGAAGAAGCTTATGAAGCTTTAATTGGCGAACATTTTCAAAAACAACAACTACAGCAAGTACAAATACATGACCATTACCAACACCAGCAGCAGTATCACCACCATCATCATCAGCAACAGCATGCACATTATATGCCTCAGCATAAACACAATCGAAATCCAAATCATTCTCGTCATCAGCATCATCGTCACAAACAAAATTCTCATACAAATCGTAAAGATAATAATGATGATGATGATGATGATGACGCTGATGTTGAGAATGATAATAACCAGGGCGACAATGCTGAGCAGCAGCTAGTGTATGAAGATGATGATGGTGTTGTGAATGTATATGATGATGATGGTCTTGGATACGAGCAACAGCATAAAATTGCTGCTGTTGTACAAGAGCATAAAGAAAATCCTCATGTTAAACCAAAACATGTGCTTAAAGAAACGCATGCACTAATTGATTTAACAAACAATTCCCTTTGCACACTACTCACATTGACCACATTCTCACCACAATCACAAATCTTAACATTGCTTACCCATACGCCAACAACAACAACAATTGCACATGGAATTGGAAATAATAATAATGCTGCCACAAAAACCCATACCAACACCAAATCAATCACAATGTCGTCATCACAATCATCGACATCATCATCATCACAACAACAACAACCAACCGCCACCCTTTCCTTTTATCGTAAAATGGGTAAATTCTCTTTTAATGCACGTACCACAATGCCTTCACCTAGATTCCGTTGGCTGCGTGGTGGTCGTGGCCCCCTTCAGGATATTGTCACCAAGGATTGGACTGTCGAACCCGTTGGCCTGGACAGTCGCACCAACTACTCTTGCTATGCATTCAATGAGGGCGGCAAAGGTGTCATGGCCACAGTCAATTTGGAAGTACATGCACCACCATTTTTCATTAAGAATTTGCCACCATACACTGGTATGCTGCATACGTCGCGCAATGCCAATCTAACATGTCGCATCGAGTGTGTGCCACGTTGTGAGATTTCCTGGCTAAAGGATGGTGTACCAATCGAAAAGAATGATACACGTTACTTTGTCAAAGACAAATACATGGATGCCTCACCGGCAACGGGTGATTTCGAAAGTATGCTTTCGGTGCTGGTAAGTAAATCGTTATACAGAAATAACAACAAAATAATTTTAATACAAATTCTCCAAGTACAAGGAAATATTGAGGAAAATTTCAAGCATTTCTCTTTTTTTAAATTGTTGGTAGGCGGGGGCTAAGGAGTTTTATGTATGTAGTACATTGCGAACAGCAATTGAGATTAATTAAAGTAATAAATTTTTGTTACTTGTATAAAGAAGCAAAACTGCAGCAAGTAAAAGAAATTAAATGGGGAAAAAATAAGAAAATATATCAAGTGTGTTGAGTAAATGCATGAAATTGATAGAAATATTAATGGGTTTTTAAATGAAAAGCAAAAAGCTTTTAATTAGTTCGAACAATTAATTAAACTAATATGGGAAGAATAAATAATTTTCAAAAAAAAAAGAGTTAAAGAATTTAAAGGAAAATTTACTTTTTAAGAAATAATAGTTAATGAAGTAGAAAAAAGCTTAAAATATTGTTTAAAGAGTTTAAAAGCTTTTTTTTCAATTATAACTCAAGATCATTACACATTAGTTAAATCAAGAGCTTTTGCAATCATTAAGAATACACTAAATTTAAAAATAAAGTTTTTGGTTTTAATTGTTGTAAAAGCTTTCAATTTAAAATAAAAAGCTTTTGATTTTAAACGAGTCAAAATAAATAGCTTTTAATTTAAGATGAGCTAGATAAAAAAGCTTTTGGTTTAGAATAATTTTAAATGGAAAGCTTTTCGTTTCAAGACATTTTGCATAAAGTTAAAAAAGCTTTTCAAATCTGCAGGATTATAAACAAAACTTTTGATTTTAGTTGTTCCACAAGCATTTAGTTTAAATTAAAGCTTTTGATTTGAAATCAGGTAAAATGAAAAGCTTTTAGTAAAAGCTTTTAATTTAAAATTAAAAGCTTTATTAAGCGAGTCAAAATAAATAGCTTTTGATTTCAGATTAGCTAGTTCAAACCCCTTTTGAGTTAAAATAATTTTAAATAGAAAACTTTTCGTTTCAAGACATTGTGAATAAAGTTAAAAAAAAGCTTTTCAAATCAGCATGATTTTAAATAAAACTTTTGATTTTAGTTGTCCACAAGATTTTAGTTTAATTAAAAGCTTTTGAAATCAGGTACAATGAAAAGCTTTTCTCTAATTAAGCATTTATAAACAAAAAGCTTTGCGACTTAATAGCATTATAAAAAAGCTTTTGATTTGTGGTAGGTTAGGATTAAAAGCTTATGATAAGTAACCAGTTGAAATATGAAGCTTTCGATTAGAAGTCAACCTAAACAAACATATGTTCATTTAAAAAAAAAAAGTTTGCGTTGGAAATCATTGTCAGTAAAGTTAATTGTTAAATCATTTAAAAAAGAGCTTTTGATTTTAAATAAGTACAAATAAAAAGGTTTGGGCTTCAGAAATATTTAACTTTAAAGCTTTTGAAAAAAAAAAAAAAATGAAAATGAAATGTTTTAGTTTAATTACACTAAAAGCTTTTAACATTAATTAATCATTTAAATAATAAGCTTTTGATTTTAAGTAAGTGAAAATAAACAGATTTGGGCTTCAAAAATATATATATTTTAAAGCTTTTAACTTTTATGACACCAAAAATGGTTCAAAATTAAAACACAAACTTTTTTAAGCTTTCTATATAGCAGCTCTAAAAGTTTTTTTTATGTTTTTGATTTTAAATAAGTTTAAATAGAAAACTTTTAGTTGAAAACTATTTATTGTAACCAGTCTTTAAAGTCTTTCAAAATAAAGAAAAAAGCTTTTTCAAATCTTTATTAACAAAAGCTTTCTATATGCGACATTTTACATAAAAAGCTTTCCAATTTATGTTTTAAAATAAATGAACTTTTGATCTCTGAAAATTTTGAAAGAGCTTTTTATGACAACAAAACTTTAATAACTTTTAAAATTAATAAAAAAAAAACTTTTTAAAATCATTTATATATAAAGCTTTTAATAAAGTTATTTTTTATATAAAAAGCTTTTGATTTTCAATAAGTTAAAATCAAAAAATTTTGATCTCTGAGTATTTTTAGTTAAAAGCTTTTTACTTTTATTTCGACAAAGGCTTTTCAAATAGTTGTTTTCAGTTAAGTAAAGCTTAGTTAAATTTTAGGAAAAGCTTTTGATCTGTTGAAAGTTTATACAAATCACTATTTTAAAGTAGTTTAAACGAAAAGCTTTTGACTTTTAATAAGTCAAAAGCTTTTGGTTTCAAAACATTTGAAATAAATAGTTTTGGTAAAAGCTTGTAAACGGATTTTAAACAAAGAGCTTTTAAAAAAGAGCTTTTTTAAATAAAAAAAACTCTAATATATGTGTAATAAGTTTTTGTAAACGGGAACATAATTATTTTATAAATAACTTAAATGTTTTAGTAATTATCAGAAAAGCTCTTTAAAGCTCTCAATATATTCTCCTTGTACGCTTTGTATTAATATTTTAAACTTACTCTTCATATTAAAACATACATATTTTATTTAATAAAATAATCTTTATTTACATCTATCTTCTCTCTTTCATCCTTCTTACCACTTTAAGCATTTCAATATGTCCAATTGGCCAAATAACAAATTTGACATTGAGGGAGATAATGCCAATTATACATGCGTATCCACAGGCAATACAGTGGGTCCCGGTATTAAAAGTGCCACTTATTTCAGTATTGAATGTAAGTTTTTTTTTTTGACACATTTTTTACAAAATCCCTTTTTTAGTTTTTAAATAACGTAAACAGAGAGAAAAAATCATCAAGATAATCGTATTGTTTTCTGTTCTATATGTAAAATATATGATTTTTTTTTTGTTTTAAAAATCCCTGACATATATGTCACTTGTAGTTTGTTTGAGCTTTCTTTTATTTTATGTACGTATTTTGTAATAAATACAACAAAAAAAAAACTTGTTGTGTTATTGTATTGTTTTTCATTTCATGTGACAGATGCACCCGATAATACAACGGTATCAGAAGAAGTTGTTTATGTAGCAGAGAATACAATACCAGGACGTGTCATATGCAAATCAAGAGCTAATCCGGGTAAGGGGTTGTGTTATTTTTTTCTATATTTTGTTTTTATTTTTGCTGTTGTTTTCTATTTTGTATTTATATTTTTAGTTTAAAATGTGTTTTATGTAGATTTCTTTTCCTGGGGGTTATTGGAACAGGGTAACAGTTTGATAGAACAAAGTTGAACTGAGATTTAAAATATTATAAGTAAAATTTTATTTGTAAAGCTTTATACATTTAAATGACTTTAAAGTTTTTGCATTAAAAGTCTTTCACATAATAAAAATTTGAATTTAAAAGAAGCTTTTCGTATTTTGAAAGCTTTCAAACAATTAGCTTTTGTATAAATAGTTAAATGTCAAACATTAAAGCTTAAAAGCTCTTAAAATTGCTTTTGAATAAAAGCATTTGGTATTGAAAGCTTATTTAAAGCTTTAATCGAAAACAATTTAAAAAAGCTCTAAAGCTTTTTACAAAAAAGGAAAACTTTTGAAATTAAAGCTATTTGAAAGCTTTTTAATAAAAGCTTTATAAAAAGCTTTCAGTAGGTATTCTAAATAGCATTTAAATTCAAAGAATTCAAAAAGAACTCAAATTAAAGCCTTCAAAAAGCTTTCCAAATTAAAGCTTTTCGTATTAAAGTATACAAAAAGCTTTTAAATAAAAGTTTTCAAAAAAATTTTACAATTAAAGCTTTCTATGAAAGAATTTAATAAAAGCTTTCTAAAAAGCTATTTAATATAAGCTTTCTAAAAAGCTATTTAATAAAAGCTTTCTAAAAAGGTTCTTAATAAAAGCATTCTTAAAAACTATTTAATAAAAACTTTCTAAAAAGCAATTTAACAAAAGCTTTCCAAAAAGCTTTTAAATTTAAAAAAAGCTTTAGAATAAAACTCCTTGCTACAATAACTCATAAAACAAGAACTTTAATCTTATATTAAAAAACTTTTAAAATATAAAATTTCTTGTATTTCCCTTTCCTTTCTATACAAAATTTTATTGTTTATGATTATTATTCATATTTTTTTAAACTTTATTAAAACAAAACAAAAATAAAATTAACAAAACCCTTCCACCCCTTCATCTACTTTTACAGAGCCCACTTATGAATGGCGTTTCAACAATAAAACTGTTATACGTGGCAATGCCTTGATTATAAATACACGCATGAAGCGCAATGATACTGGTCGTTACACTTGTGTGGCCTATAATAAACATGGACGCAGTACAGCCGAAACATTTATTGATGTACAATGTAAGTATTAATACTAAAACCATAACGACAAAAAAGGCAACATTAATAACAACACAAAAAGGAAAAACAGTCCATACTCCGATGTATCCACAGCAAAACCTTTTTGTATTTTGCCATTTTTTCCCACTTTATTAATAATTTTAGGAGTGTGTATTTTAAGTTTCTGTGGCCTTTTGTTGTCGTCCATATGTGACCACTTAGTATATTGTTAACAAATTTTGTACAAAAAAAAGAGAGGAAAAGGATTTTCTGTTATATTTTTGATTATGTCCTTTTTCCGGTTTTGTTAGGATTTTTGTTCTCTGTTGGGTTACATACATATATTAAGTTTGAACCTGTTGTCTGGCAACATTTGGTGTTGATTGTTATGATTATAAAAAAGGTTTTATTTAATACACACAATATTTCCCTTTTTTCGTAGGAAAGCGGTATGTTGTGCCTGATGTTTCCCAAACCCTTAAAACTCTTTAATCTTTGTCATCTTTAAAAGGTGGTAAGAGAAGTTTTTTGTTAAGGAGTGGTCAATGTTGAGTTATAAATTTTAATATAGCCACAAAATTGAACCGATAATGTTTAAATAAAGACAATATTGTATGGTTTTATAACGTCCGCATTAACAATAATATACATTTCTGGTCAAAAACAACAAAGGATATAAGAAATAATAACTTACATTTCCATGTAAGAGTGGGACCCAAGTTTTGTTGGGATAATAACTATTAGGAAGCCTCAAAATAGTCATCTAGTTTGTATCTGCAAATCATTATCGATAACAATATGTTTTCGAAGCTTTGGACAATAACATTTTCAATGTTATTCTGTTATGTGCTAGTTCAGTTCTAGTTCAGTTCTAGTCAGTTCTAGTCAGTTCTAGTTCAGTTCTAGTTCAGTTCTAGTTCAGTTTTAGTGGTAAGTTCTAGTTCAGTTATAGTTCAGTTTAGTTCAGTCTAGTCAGTTCTAGTTCAGTTCTAGTTCAAGTTCTAGTTCAGTTCTAGTAGTTCTAGTCAGTTCTAGCAGTTCTAGTTCAGTTCTAGTTCAGTTCTGTTCAGTTCTAGTTCAGTCTAGTTCAGTTCTAGATTCAGTTCTAGTTCAGTTCTAGTTCAGTTCTAGTTCAGTTCTAGTTCAGTTCTAGTTCAGTTCTAGTTCAGTTCTAGTTCAGTTCTAGTTCAGTTCTAGTTCAGTTCTAGTTCAGTTCTAGTTCAGTTCTAGTTCAGTTCTAGTTCAGTTCTAGTTCAGTTCTAGTTCAGTTCTAGTTCAGTTCTAGTTCAGTTCTAGTTCAGTTCTAGTTCAGTTCTAGTTCAGTTCTAGTTCAGTTCTAGTTCAGTTCTAGTTCAGTTCTAGTTCAGTCTAGTTCAGTTCTAGTTCAGTTCTAGTTCAGTTCTAGTTCAGTTCTAGTTCAGTTCTAGTTCAGTTCTAGTTCAGTTCTAGTTCAGTTCTAGTTCAGTTCTAGTTCAGTTCTAGTTCAGTTCTAGTTCAGTTCTAGTTCAGTTCAGTTCTAGTTCAGTTCTAGTTCAGTTCTAGTTCAGTTCTAGTTCAGTTCTAGTTCAGTTCTAGTTCAGTTCTAGTTCAGTTCTAGTTCAGTTCTAGTTCAGTTCTAGTTCAGTTCTAGTTCAGTTCTAGTTCTAGTTCAGTTCTAGTTCAGTTCTAGTTAGTTAGTTCTAGTTCAGTTCTAGTTCAGTTCTAGTTCAGTTCTAAGTTCTAGTTCAGTTCTAGTTCAGTTCTAGTTCAGTTCTAGTTCAGTTCTACTTCAGTTCTAGTTCAGTTCTACTTCAGTTCTAGTTCAGTTCTAGTTCAGTTCTAGTTCAGTTCTAGTTCAGTTCTAGTTCAGTTCTAGTTCAGTTCTAGTTCAGTTCTACTTCAGTTCTAGTTCAGTTCTAGTTCAGTTCTAGTTCAGTTCTAGTTCAGTTCTAGTTCAGTTCTAGTTCAGTTCTAGTTCAGTTCTAGTTCAGTTCTAGTTCAGTTCTAGTTCAGTTCTAGTTCAGTTCTAGTTCAGTTCTAGTTCAGTTCTAGTTCAGTTCTAGTTCAGTTCTAGTTCAGTTCTAGTTCAGTTCTAGTTCAGTTCTAGTTCAGTTCTAGTTCAGTTCTAGTTCAGTTCTAGTTCAGTTCTAGTTCAGTTCTAGTTCAGTTCTAGTTCAGTTCTAGTTCAGTTCTAGTTCAGATTCTAGTCAGTTCTAGTTCAGTTCTAGTTCAGTTCTAGTCAGTTCTAGTTCAGTTCTAGTTCAGTTCTAGTTTCATGTTCTAGTTCAGTTCTAGTTCAGTTCTAGTTCAGTTCTAGTTCAGTTCTAGTTCAGTTTCTAGTGTCAGGTTGTAGTTCAGTTCTAGTTCAGTTCTAGTTCAGTTCTAGTTCAGTTCTAGTTCAGTTTTAGTTCAGTTCTACTTCAGTTCTAGTTCTGTTCTGCTCTAGCTATGTTCTAGGTCAGCTCTTAAATATTTTTCAATCTAAAAATAATTCATTAAATTTTCTTATTTCATCCTTAATTCTTCAAAGCTTTCTTTTATTTACTTTCTCAGTTACTTAATTAATTAAATTACATCAACAATTTTAAATTATTATTTACAGTCACCCCACGCTGCGAAATTGAGAGGCAAGAGATTGAGGATAAGGATACGTTAATTTGCACAGCATATGGTAATCCGGAAGAGGTAAGAATTATTTGTAACACAACAAGCACTTATATAAAAACAAATGGGGAAAAATACAAAACATCAGTAAAAAATCCTATTACACTAAACTTTAAGTAAATACAAATAAAACCATTCACGCAATCGAGGAGAGAAAAAACATAAATAAACTACAAAAAAAGTTTAAACTTTTGCATATAAAATAAATTAAATAAATATAAAAACACAAACTGAACGTAAAAAACAACATTTATATTGTAATGAAATATTGTAGTGAAAAAACACCAACAGACAGTTAGTACAACTGACATATAGACAGATAGACTTCGCAGCGACCAAACGTCATCGGGGCTACAAACACATCGTTTATCAACTGTTATCTCCATATGAATAGTGTAAAACCCCTACACTTTGCTGTCTTTTTTAACCTTTTTTGTGCAGAGAGTGTTACGCCCGAGATTAAAAGGTAGAAGGTGTTACGACAGTCATCCTGCTATACAACTCCTCTCGTACCCGTACAATTGTATGCATGTCTATAAACATTACACAAAAAGCACCTGTTAAGTGGATAGAAAGTATGCAACAAAAAAGTTAACTTTTAAAAAAACTACAAATCAAATAAATATGTAGCGTTGAAGCAGAAGAGAGAGGGAGAGCAAAAAAATTCAGTGCAACGTGGGGTATAAAAATGTGCGTGTTAGTCGAGGAGTTAGAGATTTACTTTAAAAATAAAAAAGTTTAAGTGGTGTATTTCTTTTTCGGGGGGAAATGAGGGAAATGTGAGATCCACTGATTATATAATGATAAATTTTAAAAATTTTCGCAAACACATGTAAATATGTTCTAGTTTTGTTCTAGTTCTAGTTCTGTTCTAGTTCTGTTCTAGTTCTGTTCTAGTTCTGTTCTAGTTCTGTTCTAGTTCTGTTCTAGTTCTGTTCTAGTTCTGTTCTAGTTCTGTTCTAGTTCTGTTCTAATTCTGTTCTAGTTCTGTTCTTGTTCTGTTCTAGTTCTGTTCTAGTTCTGTTCTAGTTCTGTTCTAGTTCAGTTCTAGTTCTGTTCTAGTTCTGTTCTAGTTCTGTTCTAGTTCTGTTCTAGTTCTGTTCTAGTTCTGTTCTAGTTCTGTTCTAGTTCTGTTCTAGTTCTGTTCTAGTTCTGTTTTAGTTCTGTTCTAGTTCTGTTCTAGTTCTGTTCTAGTTCTGTTCTAGTTCTGTTCTAGTTCTGTTCTAGTTCTCTTCTTGTTCTGTTTTTGTTCTGTTCTAGTTCTGTTCTAGTTATGTTCTAGTTTGGTTCTAATCTCTCCAAATTTCCCTTTCTAGTTTTTACTAGTACTGCAGCCACGTTGTATAAACACATGCACATAAATAAAATGTTTTGCTTATAAAATACGTGTTTTATTTATTTTTTTTATATTTATATATTTTTTTCGTTACCAACCTTTTGTAACTTTTGCTTCTGATATCTACTACATGTTGCAGTTATTGTTGCATTTGTGTAGTGGAAAATAAAATTCAAAACTCATATATCAATTTTTAAGGGTTTTTCCACTATCTTACTTTCGAATTTTAACCAGAATTTTCAATTTCTATTTACGTATGACTGATTATTTGGCTCAACACGAGTAGCTTTTTTGCACGTTTTAGTTTAGTTTATTTATGTTTGCTCTTTGGGGTTTAAATCATTACTTGAGATTTTTTATATAGGAGCCAAAAATAATATATAGTATTAACTAAAAGTAATAACAGTTTGGCTAACATACGTTAGAGTTTAAGAATATATATTTTTAAATTTAAAAGAATTTAAATTCCTTAATTTCGAAGTCCTTCTTATAGCTAAGCCAACAACTAAAAATATGTATGTAACTGCAGAAGTCTCTTAACCTTTACCCATCAAGTTTTCTTAAAGTCATTATTGTATTTCTGTTTATGCTTTTTAACTTTATATAACAACAGTTTTTCCAAATAACACCCTTTTTTATTTGCTTTGGAAAATAAGGTTCTTGCTGTTAATTTTCTATAAATAAAATATTTTATATATTTACATTTACATGCCCAATTGATTACTTGTTCTTTTATGACGAGATGCAGAAATAAAAATTTTATAAAATGTAAATAAAAAGTAAACATATTAAGGAGACTATTAAAAATGTATGTTAACAAAACATTTAACCGAACAGTTGAATGGACGGTCGGACAGGCAATGATAATCAAATTTTATACACACACTTCTGCAGATAACAGTAAATTTGTGCACATGTTCTGGAAAATGTCCTGCAGACTTGCCAATGAATTTTTATACAATTATATAAACCATTTTCTTTTATAGTTTTTTTTTTTGTATTAACATTTAAATACATTTTTATTGAATTAAATGTGTCACATTTTTGGAATAAATTAAATTGTGAAAACTAAAGTTTAAACTTGGTTAACACTAAGTAAACTTAGTTCTGTTCTAGTTCTGTTCTAGTTCTGTTCTAGTTCTGTTCTAGTTCTGTTCTAGTTCTGTTCTAGTTCTGTTCTAGTTCTGTTCTAGTTCTGTTCTAGTTCTGTTCTAGTTCTGTTCTAGTTCTGTTCTATTTCTGTTCTAGTTCTGTTCTAGTTCTGTTCTAGTTCTGTTCTAGTTCTGTTCTAGTTCTGTTCTAGTTCTCTTCTAGTTCTGTTCTAGTTCTGTTCTAGTTCTGTTCTAGTTCTGTTCTAGTTCTGTTCTAGTTCTGTTCTAGTTCTGTTCTAGTTCTGTTCTAGTTCTGTTCTAGTTCTGTTCTAGTTCTGTTCTAGTTCTGTTCTAGTTCTGTTCTAGTTCTGTTCTAGTTCTGTTCTAGTTCTGTTCTAGTTCTGTTCTAGTTCTGTTCTAGTTCTGTTCTAGGTTCTGTTCTAGTTCTGTTCTAGTTCTGTTCTAGTTCTTTCTAGTTCTGTTCTAGTTCTGTTCTAGTTCTGTTCTAGTTCTGTTCTAGTTCTGTTCTAGTTCTGTTCTAGTTCTGTTCTAGTTCTGTTCTAGTTCTGTTCTAGTTCTGTTCTAGTTCTGTTCTAGTTCTGTTCTAGTTCTGTTCTAGTTCTGTTCTAGTTCTGTTCTAGTTCTGTTCTAGTTCTGTTCTAGTTCTGTTCTAGTTCTGTTCTAGTTCTGTTCTAGTTCTGTTCTAGTTCTGTTCTAGTTCTGTTCTAGTTCTGTTCTAGTTCTGTTCTAGTTCTGTTCTAGTTCTGTGCTAGTTCTGTTCTAGTTCTGTTCTAGTTCTGTTCTAGTTCTGTTCTAGTTCTGTTCTAGTTCTGTTCTAGTTCTGTTCTAGTTCTGTTCTAGTTCTGTTCTAGTTCTGTTCTAGTTCTGTTCTAGTTCTGTTCTAGTTATGTTCTAGTTCTGTTCTAGTTCTGTTCTAGTTCGGTTCTAGTTCGGTTCTAGTTCGGTTCTAGTTCGGTTCTAGTTCTGTTCTAGTTCTGTTCTAGTTCTGTTCTAGTTCTGTTCTAGTTCTGTTCTAGTTCTGTTCTAGTTCTGTTCTAGTTCTGTTCTAGTTCTGTTCTAGTTCTGTTCTAGTTATGTTCTAGTTATGTTCTAGTTCTGTTCTAGTTCTGTTCTAGTTATGTTCTAGTTCTGTTTAGTTCTGTTTTAGTTCTGTTCTAGTTCTGTTCTAGTTCTGTTCTAGTTCTGTTCTAGTTCTGTTCTAGTTCTGTTCTAGTTCTGTTCTAGTTCTGTTCTAGTTCTGTTCTAGTTCTGTTCTAGTTCTGTTCTAGTTCTGTTCTAGTTCTGTTCTAGTTCTGTTCTAGTTCTGTTCTAGTTCTGTTCTAGTTCTGTTCTAGTTCTGTTCTAGTTCTGTTCTAGTTCTGTTCTAGTTCTGTTCTAGTTCTGTTCTAGTTCTGTTCTAGTTCTGTTCTAGTTCTGTTCTAGTTCTGTTCTAGTTCTGTTCTAGTTCTGTTCTAGTTCTGTTCTAGTTCTGTTCTAGTTCTGTTCTAGTTCTGTTCTAGTTCTGTTCTAGTTCTGTTCTAGTTCTGTTCTAGTTCTGTTCTAGTTCTGTTCTAGTTCTGTTCTAGTTCTGTTCTAGTTCTGTTCTAGTTCTGTTCTAGTTCTAGTTCTGTTCTAGTTCTGTTCTAGTCTGTTCTAGTTCTGCTCTAGTTCTGTTTCTAGTTCTGTTCTAGTTCTGTTCTAGTTCTGTTCTAGTTCTGTTCTAGTTCTATTCTAGTTCTGTTCTAGTTCTGTTCTAGTTCTGTTCTAGTTCTGTTCTAGTTCTGTTCTAGTTCTGTTCTAGTTCTGTTCTAGTTCTGTTCTAGTTCTGTTCTAGTTCTGTTCTAGTTCTGTTCTAGTTCTGTTCTAGTTCTGTTCTAGTTCTGTTCTAGTTCTGTTCTAGTTCTGTTCTAGTTCTGTTCTAGTTCTGTTCTAGTTCTGTTCTAGTTCTGTTCTAGTTCTGTTCTAGTTCTGTTCTAGTTCTGGTTCTAGTTCTGTACTAGTACTGTTCTAGTTCTGTTCTAGTTCTGTTCTAGTTTTCGTTCAGTTCTAGTTCTGTTGTAGTTCTCGTTATATTCTAGTTCTCTTCTAATTCTAGTTCTGTTCTAGTTCTGATTGATTATTTTATCACGTCTCTTTCAAAATTTAATATAGTAATCATTTGAATTCTATGCACCACTCTTCTGGAAATATAGGCTTCCCGAATAGTCCACGTGTCTATCGGTTTATGTGTAAACTTTGGTATCAAACTGCGTAGCTCCCAGACAGTTCAAATATAATCATATAGCTTATCACAAAGTCGATTTAGATCTACTCAATTTCCCTATTAATTTTCATCTTACTACTTACTAAACTACTCCTCTATAACTGTTTACATATTCTTTTTTTGTCTCCTTTACAGGCCGATTTTTCATGGTCAATTAAGGGTGATAACGAAACAGTCGAATGGCTGGGCAACGGTGACCATAAAGCATTTAAGGATAAAAGCTATTATGAACTAAAAGAAGATTATGCCATAGCACGTACCTATCGTTGTGTGGCCAATAATACAGCGGGTGCTGGTACATTCTGTGAAATCGAAGTTGCCGGTAAGTACAAAAAGAATAATTTTAATAATACACTCAGAAGTAGGAGTACGTATGTATGTATAAGTAAGGGATGCACGATGACTAAATAGTAGTTTGTATGTACTCTCGTAGTAAAATTAAACTGCAGTTGCTGCAGCCGCTTTAATGACAGTAAATAGTAGTAAATGTTGGACAGAATTTGTAGAAAAACTAGAGTGAGTTAAAAGGAAAAAATTGTGCATTGATTATGTGCCTAAATGGTTTATAAAAAAAGTGTATAATGTTTTAAAAAGCTTTCAGTATACTTTGTTTTTTCACTCACTCTTGCAATAAGTGTTTCATATACTATATTTAGCTTTAAATGGCTTTAAAGGACTTGCAAAAGTGTAAGACAATAACAATTGAAACTGAAATTAAGTGATGAATGGTCTTTTAAGTGATGAAAATAAACGCAAACAATAAGAAAATAAAAAAAAGAATATAAAAATCACTTTAGTAGCTTTTAGCTCTATTTCCTTTCTCTTTTTGTCAAGACAATGGTAATTTGGATAGAGTTCAAATTAAAGTTGTGCGAAACAAAACAAAAAAGAAGACTATTAAGTGTAAATTGAAGACTATTTGCGTTGAGTAACGTTTTTTTATTTTCCTAAAGAACAAAAGTGGAAAATGAGTTAAATTTAATTTAAATAAGATAGATGTAAAGGATTTCACTCTAGCGAAGAAAGTCTGCTTGGTCTTTTAACAGAGGAATTCAAAATTATACCGGAAAGTTCATAAAAAATGCAATAATTTACTTTCTGTAACAGCGAAGTTTTTCCTTTGGAAAAGCCTGAAATAGCGAAGGATATTCCTTCTTTGATACAGTAGCAGCTAGCCATGGATGTATTCTCTTTAGCACAGCTTTAGCTAGCGATGAATATACTTCTCTTTTGTACAGCTGGAACTAGCGATTGACGTACTCTCTTTAGTACAGTTTGAGGTGGCAATGGATATACTCTCTTTAGTACAGCTTGAGCTAGCGATAGATGTTCTCTCTTTAGTACAGCTTGAGCTAGCGATGAATGTACTCTCTTTAGTACAGCTTGAGCTAGCGATGGATGTACTCTCTTTAGTACAGCTTGAGTTAGCGATGGATGTACTCTCTTTAGTACAGCTTGAGTTAGCGATGGATGTACTCTCTTTAGTACAGCTTGAGTTAGCGATGGGTGTACTCTCTTTAGTACAGCTTGAGTTAGCGATGGATGTACTCTCTTTAGTACAGCTTGAGCTAGCGATGGATGTACTCTCTTTAGTACAGCTTGAGGTGGCGATGGATATACTCTCTTTAGTACAGCTTGAACTAGCGATAGATGTACTCTCTTTAGTACAGCTTGAGCTAGCGATAGATGTACTCTCTTTAGTACAGCTTGAGCTAGCGATAGATGTACTCTCTTTAGTACAGCTTGAGCTAGCGATAGATGTACTCTCTTTAGTACAGCTTGAGCTAGCGATGAACGTACTTTCTTTAGCACAGCTTGAGCTAGCGATGGAAGTATTCTCTTTAGTACAGCTTGAGCTAGCGATGGATGTACTGGCTTTAGTACAGCTAGCCCTAGCGATGGATGTACTTCCTTTAGTACAGCTTGAGCTAGCGATGTAGGTACTTTCTTTAGTACAGCTTGAGCTAGCGATGAATATACTTTCTTTAGTACAGCTTGAGCTAACGATGAATGTACTTTCTTTAGTGAACCTTGAGCTAGCGATGGATGTATTAACTTTAGTACAGCTTGAGCTAGCGATGGATGTACTACCTTTAGTACAGCATGAGCTAGTGATGGAAGTACTCTCTCTAGCAAAGCCTGAATGAGCGATGGTTGTACTTTCTTTAATACAGCTTGAGCTAGCAATGGATGTACAGTCTTTAGTACAGCTTGAGCTAGTGATGAATGTACTGTCTGCCTTGCAAAAGGAGAAACTTTTTAATTTAAAATCACATTTAATTTCAAATATTTACTTCCAATTTACAGTGCCAATCGTATCGATATAAATCTCTAACTACAGATTTACTTTGCCATCTAATCCTTATATTTATGTTAATATTATTCACATAATTTCAACAAAAGCCATTGATTTTCATGCAAAAACTAAAATAAATATTGTTTTTTAGAATAATCAAAAATTACAACAACAAAAAACTTTTTAGTTAAACATTTTTTGTGTCAGCTGTTTAAATTAACTTAACCTATACCAATTGTGCTTTTAGAAAAACAAGGGCCAAATAAAAACCTCTCGAACTCTTAAAAGTAAACAATTCTCCCTAAATAAAGAGGAGGGAGGGAACGTAACACTGCTAAAACTAAATCACAAATTTTGTAGCATCGAACAAAAGCAAAAAACTAACTAACGAACAATTTGAATTGTTGAACCAGAAAAAAAACGCGATGAAACCACCACAATCAAGTTGAAATAGTATTAAGAATTAAGGCACAGAAAAAATACTCTTACTAAAACAAAATTTTAATTCAAATACTCGCACACATACATGCATACATATATACACAATGGCATACTAACAAATCCGTGGCAGTATCTGTGATAAAATGAATAAACGGAAGCTGATTACTGTCAATATTTGTTTCGACTGTGTTTTAATACAATACATTGCAAATGGCAGGACTGTCAATGTGTATTTCTGTGTGTGTGTGTGTGTGTGTAAGCGTCCAACTAAAGAGGGGAATTTTTCGTGGGTCCTTGTCAATGTTATTGTTGCTTTTGGCCAGTTTCCTGTAAAACTGGGTTTTCAGTTCGATTGTTTTGTTTTGTGATTGTATGTGTGTGTGTGTGTTAAAAGGCGTTAAAACGAAACAGCTACAAGATTCTCAACAATATTGCAATTTTTGTTATTGTTGTTGTTTTATTTTGGTTAAAACCACCATGACTTTGAATTTACAGCACGTGCTGTTTGAATTCTAACCACCAGCTAAATTTTTTTTCGTATTCATCTTCAAACACTCCTCTATGTTTCCGTTTCCTCTGTAAGCAGCTTTTGATTAGGATATTGTAACCATCTTTTACAATTTTTTTTTTTGTTTCACTTCTTTTCGGTTACAAACTGCAGCTGACGCTTTTTAGTTTGTTGTAGTGGAAAAAAGTACATTTTCAATTTTGTGAGTTTATTATTTTTTTTTTCTTTTGTATTTATTTCTTCGATAATTTTTTCTCTCTCTTGATTTTAAATTTAATGTATTTTGTTGGTTTTTTCTTTTCTTTTGACTGAACCCTTGGTTGGTTGGCTTGGCATTGGTTGTGATTTTATTTATATGTTTGTATTAGGAAAAGGAAATTGATTTCGCTGTGTTGTTACACTTCCTTTTAAACAAGAAGAACAAAAAAAAAAAAAAAGAGTTTTCTTTCCATTCGTGCATGTTTCTCTTATTTAGCTTTTTTTGTTGGTGGTTTTGGTTTGAAAATAATAAATATTTGTATTAAATAGAGATAATATTTTAAGCTTAAGATTTATTGTAAAATTATATTAAATTTTTAAAGAATGATTTTTTAAAAGAATTTTGCTTAAAACTTTCAACTGATCGATAAAAGAAGTAATGATGAAAATAATTTTTAGAACAGTTTGATCCAGTGATGGATGATGAACTTTCTTTAGTACAGCTTGAGCTAGCGATGGATGTACTTTCTTTAGTATAGCTCGAGTTAGCGATGGATGTACTTTCTTTAGTACAGCTTAAGCTAGCGATGGATGTACTTTCTTTAGTACAGCTTGAGCTAGCAATGGATGTACTTTCTTTAGTACAGCTTGAGTTTGCGATGGATGTACTTTCTTTAGTACAGCCTGAACTAGCGATGGATTTACTTTCTTTAGTACAGCCTGAGTTAGCGATGGATATACCTTCTTTAGTATAGCTTGAGCTAGAGATGATGAACTTTGTTTAGTACAGCTTGAGCTAGAGTAGGTTCTGAGTTAGCGATATATGAACTTTCTTTAATACAGCTTGCGCTAGCTATGGATGTACATTCTTTAGTAGAGCTTGAGCTAGCGATGGATGTACATTATTTAGTACAGCTTGAGCTAGCGATGGATGTACATTCTTTAGCACAGCTTGAGCTAGCGATGGATGTACATTCTTTAGTACAGCTTGAGCTGGCGGTAGATGTATTTTCTTTAGTACAGCTTATGTTAGCGATGGAAGAGCTTTTATTAGTACAGCTTGAGCTAGCTATGGATATACTTTCTTTAGTACAGCTTGAACTAGCGATTGATGGACTTTATTTAGTATAGCCTGAGCTAGCGATGTATGTACTTTCTTTTGTACCATGGATGTACTTTTCTTTAGTACAGCATGAGCTAGCGATGGATGTACTTTTCTTTAGTACACCTTGAGCTAGTCAAGGATGTACTTTTCTTTAGTACAGCTTGAGCTAACAAAGGATGTACGTTCTTTAGTACAGATTAAGCTAGCCAAGGGTGTACATTCTTTAATACAGCTTGAGTAGGCTAAGGATGTACTTTCTTTAACACAGCTTGAGCTTGCGATGAATGTAGTTTCTTTAGTACAGACTGATCAAGTGACGGATGCCCTTCTTTAAGTTCAGCCTGAGCTAGTGATGAAAAAACTTTCCATAGTAAATCTTGAGCTAGTACTAAAGTAGAACTAGTAGTTTCTTTACAATGAGCTTGCGGTGAAAGAACTTTTGACAGTGCAGGGCTGGAAACCGAATTCGAAGTTTTGTGTTCATTTCCATTTATTTCTTATTAATTTTGGTGCTGGTTTTTAATAATCTATACTTGTTACAAATGTATTTTACAGCTACTCATCCTTTTATCATTTGGTGGAAAGGTAAAGTTTTCAGAAGAATTTTGAAAAAGTTTAAAGCATGTCAGTTTTTTTCCTAAAAAACAAATCTGAAAGCTTTTACAGAAAAACTTGAATATTCTGTATCCTATACCGAGTCCTTGTACAGCACTTATTCCTAAAACAAGTATACAATATTTTTCGTTTAATACATAATCATACTTTACCTTTACTCACAGCGATCTAACAGGTTTCTGCAAGTTGTTCAACTAATTTGAATCATATTCCTAATCACAGATAACTCGTAATAATGACTTAAAGGAGTGAATAATAAATAAGAGAAAAACTCAAATAAACTGTTAAACTAGATAATTTTTTAAAACATTGATTACTTTGTTGTAGACATTTTAAACTATAGAGTTAACTGAACTTAAAATTATTTTTAATATTATAATTTTTAAGTAGTCGTAACTTAATTTAGCATAACAACTGGGTGTTGGTAATATATGTATATATATATTTGGGTAAAAAATTTATTTTAAATTTAACTTTATAAAAGCTATTTTTTACAATAGAATTTAAAAAAATATTTAAAAATTATAACTCTCCTCTTTTTTCCCCCTACTGCTTTTTAAATTTTGATAACCACTTATAAATGAAAACATGCTTAACTTGAACGCTTAAATATGCTTGAAAAACACACACAAAAACAAAATCCCAAAAAATTAAACTACAGTGCGCCTTAGAAGTAAGTAGACAAAAACGGAAAATAATTGTTCAATTCACCAACGATGTTGTAACAACCTAAACAGCAACTAAAGTGAATTAAACAAATATTAAAAATATAATTAAATAACTTTTAATAATAGAAATTTTATATTGTTGTTAAATTATAATTTTTATTAAATTTATGTTCGAAATTTTTTTTGTTTTATTTCCTAAGCAAAAAGCTCTTCCTATTACCTAAAGAGCTAAATTTCATTTTTCCTTCAAATCCCTCCCCTTATGACTTCTGACACCTTACTTTTGTCAATGACTTATTTAATAAAAAGCCATTTAATACTCATATACATAACTTTACTTAATAAAAACCTACATTCTCTATACAACTTACTCATATAAAATTCATAAATTTTACAAATAGTTTCATATTACAAATGACGGAAATATTTGAATATGACTAGACAGTTTATATATTTATGTCGTACCTACATATGTGTGATAAAAACATCAGCGCAAAGAAATGTCACAAGGAATTACTTATTTACGACAGAATAGAAAATGGAACTCAACCCAGCAACATTTTAAATTTTAAAGGGTTTTCTACTTAAAGTAAACTAGAAAAAATGTTGCCGGTTTAAAATTTCTCTTCTGCTCTATTTGCTATTGAAAAACAGATTTTTTTATACATATGACTACTTGAGGGTATATAAACCAGGAAATTTTATTTAATTCCCTGAATTGTATTTGAGCAGTGAAAGGAAAAAATTGTTGTCATATTTGATAAATTATTAAGGTATAAAAGTAAAGAATGCAATGCAACTCATTTGACATAAAAATGTAAAAAAATATGAAACAGAAATATATAAACAAAGTAGCATAAGGTGTAAACTAGAAAATGTACTAAGAATAGAATTGATTATAAAATAGAATAGACAAGAGACTAGACTGTAGGCTAGGCTATAGACTAGACAATATACTAGACTTTCAACTAGTTTATAGACTAGACTATAAACTAGATTACTGACTAGACAAGACAATTGAATAGACTTTAGACTAGTCTATAAAATAACCATAGCTTAGACTATAGACTAGACTATAGAAAAGACTATAGACTAGACTATAGAATAGACTATGGACTAGATTATAGACTAGAATAAAGACTAGACTATAGACTAGATTATAGATTAGACTATAGACTGAACTATAGACTAGACTATAGAATAGACTATAGAATAGACTATAGAATAGATTATAGAATAGACTATAGAATAGACTATAGACTAGAATATAGACTAGACTATAGAATAGACTATAGACTAGTCTATAGACCAATCTATAGACTAGAATATAGACTAGACTATAGACTAGACTATAGACTAGATTACAGACTAGACTATAGACTAGACTAAAGACTAGACTATAGACTGGACTATAGACTAGACTATAGACTAGACTATTGACTAGACTATAGACTAGACTATAGACTAGACTATAGACTAGACTAAAGACTAGACTATAGACTAGACTAGACTATAGACTAGACTATAGACTAGACTAGACTAGACTAGACTAGACTAGACTAGACTAGACTAGACTAGACTAGACTAGACTAGACTAGACTAGACTAGACTAGACTAGACCATAGACTAGACTAGACCATAGACTAGACTAGAAGAGACTAGACTAGACTAGACTATAGACTAGACTATAGACTAGACTATAGACTAGACTATAGACTAGACTATAGACTAGACTATAGACTAGACTATAGACTAGACTATAGACTAGACTATAGACTAGACTATAGACTAGACTATAGACTAGACTATAGACTAGACTATAGACTAGACTATAGACTAGACTATAGACTAGACTATAGACTAGACTATAGACTAGACTATAGACTAGACTATAGACTAGGCTATAGACTAGACTATAGACTAGACTATAGACTAGACTATAGACTAGACTATAGACTAGACTATAGACTAGACTATAGACTAGACTATAGACTAGACTATAGACTAGACTATAGACTAGACTATAGACTAGAATATAGACTAGACTATAGACTAGACTATAGACTAGACTATAGACTAGACTATAGACTAGACTATAGACTAGACTATAGACTAGACTATAGACTAGACTATAACTAGACTATAGACTAGACTATAGACTAGACTATAGACTAGACTATAGACTAGACTATAGACTAGACTATAGACTAGACTATAGACTAGACTATAGACTAGACTATAGACTAGACTATAGACTAGACTATAGACTAGACTATAGACTAGACTATAGACTAGACTATAGACTAGACTTGACTAGACTTGACTAGACTTGACTAGACTAAAGACTAGACTATAGACTAGACTATAAACTAGAATATAAACTAGACTATAGATTAGACTATAGACTAGACTATAGACTAGACTATAGACTAGACTATAGACTAGACTATAGACTAGACTATAGACTATACTATACACTAGACTATAGACTAGACTATAGACTAGACTATAGACTAGACTATAGACTAGACTATAGACTAGACTATAGACTAGACTAGACTAGACTATAGACTAGACTATAGACTACACTATAGACTAGACTATAGACTAGACTATAGACTAGACTATAGACTAGACTATAGACTAGACTATAGACTAGACTATAGACTAGACTATAGACTAGACTATAGACTAGACTATAGACTAGACTATAGACTAGACTATAGACTAGACTATAGACTAGACTATAGACTAGACTATAGACTAGACTATAGACTAGACTATAGACTAGACTATAAACTATACTATAGACTAGACTATAAACTATACTATAGACTAGACTATAGACTAAACTAGACTAATGACTTGACTATGGACTAGACTATAGACTACAATATAGACCATGGACTATACTGCCGACAAGACTACTGAGTAATCTATAGACTAGATCCTAGAACGGACTATGAACTAGACTATTGACAAAACAAAGAAATAGTCTATAGAATACATATTTGACTAGAATATAGATTCGACTGTGAACTATTAACTACAGTATGGACTAGACTATTGACTAGAATATAGACGTTACTATAGACTAATCTATAAATTAAACTTTATGATATAGAGTAGGCTATATATTATAAAATTGACGACAGACTAAACTATAGACCAGACTACTAGACTAAATTAGACTATTCTAAACTATACTCTCGATTAGACTTTATACTAAGCTCTAAACTAGACGTCATAATAGGCTCTAGAATAAATGGAGTGTAAACTTGACTCTAACTATAGACTACACTATACTATATACTCAACTCTATAGACAAGAACAAGGCTCTAAGCCATTCTCTTGACTAGACTGTTAATTGGTCTTTAAACCTTTAACTAAACACAAATTTATAAAGTGTGTTTGTCAATAGACTAAACTCAATCGATTCACTTGAAATAAGTCCTGTTTGAAAATCCTATACTTTCCTGGACACACTGTCACTTCACCAAATAATGTATATACACTGAAAGAATATATTGTGTATACTGCAGGCATGTTAAGGAATTTATTGGATTTAACAAATATTCATTATTTATAATTTTCTTTGTTAAATATTATAACTATTTTAAGTTTTTCACATTTTCAATTTAAATTGTTTTATTTATCCTTTTTTGCAATGTTAAGCAATTTCTTTTTTAAAAAATATTAATTAATTTTATTTTTCCAACTAATTTAGAACAACTTGCTTGGTGGCAGCGTTGGGATACAACAACATTAATCATTCTGGTGGCCAGTATATTGGTCCTACTGTTGGCTGTCATTATTATTTGTTGTATTATTATTTGCATTTGTCGTCGTCGTAGACGTCAGGATAAATGTAAGTACCTTGTATTAAGTTTTTGAAAAAAACAATATACCAAATTCCTTAAAAATTATATTTAATTATTTTTATGTTAAGTTTAAAAAATAAAATTATAAAAATATTGAAGAGTAATTTAAAGAAAATGTTTAGGGTTAAATTAAGTTTATTTATGTTTTATAATTTATTAAGTTTTCTTTGTTTATGATTTTTTTTTAATTTTTTATAATTTTTATGATTTTGTTTTTATAATTTCGTGTTTGTTTTGTTTTAAATTTAACAAAATTTTTCAAGATTTTATTAAAATTTTTTTATATTTGAGCTTTTGCATGGCTTTTTGAGAATGAATTTGTTTTTGTAACAAAAGCATGTTGAGGAATGTTTCGTTTTACAATAATTTTCTTAAAAAAATCTGATCCCAAAATTTGACTGAATATATTAATACCTTTTAATCTCAAATTAGTACCAGAAAAGCTTTTATAATTATTTTTCTCTAATCCTTATCCAATGCTATTCTTTATAACAAATGTTCAGTATAGTTTGCCCCGAATTAAATTAGAAAATTTCCTTTAAAAATTGGTCATTAACCATATTTCCCATATTTAGACACAAAAAGCTGCTCCTTTGTTTCAGTCAGAAATCTTTAATTATTTTATTTACAATTTATTTAAAACCATTAAAGCTTTTTCAATAAACCCATGTTTCTCACAAAGTGTTTAGTGCGTGTCAATATAATTATATTTTTTTCTAAATTTCATTTCCAAATAAACATTAAAATATTTACTTTTAATAAATCCTGTATTTTTCAAAGCACGTCCCCTTACCCCTCAAACAACCCTTCGCCAAAAAAAAGAACTCATTATAAATGCATGACATGTCTACAAATAATATGTTTTTCTACATAAAAGCTAAATTTCTAATAATTTTTAATTACAATTTATTTAATTTAATTAAATAAATAAATAAACATAAACATTATAAAAACATAATCATTATGCGTTTATTAAATAATTTAAATGTAATAAATTTTAATATTCATAATATTTTTTCCTAAACTAATAATATAAAAATATTAATATATAACTGGAAAAGTGTGTGAGAGAGAGAACGTGTTGCAAAAAACAGTTTTACCAGGCTGTGGTTAAATTAGTAATAATTAGAATAAATAAAATAATTATAAATAATGAGGTTGATAATCATAAACAAATGAACTGATAAACTATTAGAAAGATTGGTAAAAATTAAAATTTAAATATATTTAGCTAATGAGAAAATAAATACATTTTAGATTGGACTTTAAATTGATATACAATATAAGGTGGACTACAGACCCAAATTAATGCTTAATTAAAGACTAGAGTATAGACTAGACCATAGAATGGACTACAGACTAGAATATATACTAGACTTAAGTATATAAAATATACATAGCTAGACTATATACAAGACGGTGGAATAGACAATGGACTAGACAGTAGACTAGACTAGACTAACCTTTACTAGATTATAGAATAGACTATACTACAGACTAGAATATAGACTAGATATAAGAATATAATATATACATAGCTAGACTATATACAGGACTGTGGAATAGACAAAGGACTAGACAATAGACTACACTAGATTATCCTTTACTAGATTATAGACTAGACTATAGACTGGACTATAGACTGGAAAATAGACTGGACTATAGACTGGACTATAGACTAGAGTATAGACTAGACTATAGACTAGCCTATAGACTAGCCCTTAGACTAGACAATAGACTAGAATATATACTAGACTATAGACTAGACTATAGACTAGACTATAGACTAGACTATAGACTAGACTATAGACTAGACTATAGACTAGACTATAGACTAGACTATAGACTAGACTATAGACTAGACTATAGACTAGACTATAGACTAGACTATAGACTAGACTATAGACTAGACTATAGGACTAGACTATAGACTAGACTATAGACTACACTATAGACTACACTATAGACTACACTATAGACTAGACTATAGACTAGACTATAAACTAGACTATAGACTAGACTATAGACTAGACTATAGACTAGACTATAGACTAGACTATAGACTAGACTATAGACTAGACAATAGACTAGACTATAGACTAGACTATAGACTAGACTATAGACTAGACTATAGACTAGACTATAGACTAGACTATAGACTAGACTATAGACTAGACTATAGACTAGACTATAGACTAGACTATAGACTAGACTATAGACTAGACTATAGACTAGACTATAGACTAGACTATAGACTATAGACTAGACTATAGACTAGACTATAGACTAGACTATAGACTAGACTATAGACTAGACTATAGACTAGACTATAGACTAGACTATAGACTAGACTATAGACTTAGACTATAGACTAGACTATAGACTAGACTATAGACTAGACTATAGACTAGACTATAGACTAGACTATAGACTAGACTATAGACTAGACTATAGACTAGACTATAGACTAGACTAGAAACTATAGACTAGACTATAGACTAGACTATAGACTAGACTATAGACTAGACTATAGACTAGACTATAGACTAGACTATAGACTAGACTATAGACTAGACTATAGACTAGACTATAGACTAGACTATAGACTAGACTATAGACTAGACTATAGACTAGACTATAGACTAGACTATAGACTAGACTATAGACTAGACTATAGACTAGACTATAGACTAGACTATAGACTAGACTATAGACTAGACTATAGACTAGACTATAGACTAGACTATAGACTAGACTATAGACTAGACTATAGACTAGACTATAGACTAGACTATAGACTAGACTATAGACTAGACTATAGACTAGACTATAGACTAGACTATAGACTAGACTATAGACTAGACTATAGACTAGACTATAGACTAGACTATAGACTAGACTATAGACTAGACTATAGACTAGACTAAAGACTAGACTATAGACTAGACTATAGACTAGTCTATAGACTAGTCTAGTCTAGTCTATGGTCTAGTCTATAGTCTAGTCTATAGTCTAGTCTATAGTCTAATCTATAGTCTATAGTCTAGTCTATAGTCTAGTCTATAGCCTAGACTATAGTCTAGTCTATAGTCTATGGTCTAGTCTCTAGTCTAGTCTATAGTCTAGTCTATAGTCTAGGCTATAGTCTAGTCTATAGTCTAGGCTATAGTCTAGTCTATAGTCTAGTCTATAGTCTAGTCTATAGTCAAGTCTATAGTCTAGTCTATAGTCTTGTCTATAGTCTAGTTTATAGTCTAGTCTATAGTCTAGTCTATAGTCTAGTCTACAGAATAGACTAGACTGTAGACAAGGCCATGCACTGGACTATAGACTATAGTGCAGCCTTCCATAGACTGGACTATAGACTATAAAAAAGAATAGGCTATGTACAAGACTATAGACTTAACTTTCTGTCGATTATACGATAGACAAGACTATGGACAGAACTCAAGACTAGACTTCGGACTAGATTATTAACTAGACTGTAGGTAACATCCTTGAATAGATTGTAGGATTTAGACTAAATTATTGGCTAGACTATAGACTAGTTAGTAGGCTACTATAGTTTAGACTGTGGACTATAGACAAGACTACAAACTAGACTATACGACTACAAACTATAAGACGACTAACTAGACTAGTTAGATTTTAAAGAAGATTCTGGACTTTACTCAAGGCTAAACTAGAAATATAGACTATGTATAATATAGACTATGGGCTATAGATAAAGTGATATACTAGACTACAAACTATATTTTATAATATAATCTACTCTAGGCAATGCTTTAGACTTGATACTCATCCATAGACTATACTACTCTAGACAACTTTACATACATTTTGCAAATTTTATCCAATTACTTCTTACAGAATGTCGTACACAAAAAAAAGTGCTCATTAAAAATAATGCTAGAAAAAATTTTATGATTTTTACTTAATGACTCAATTAATGAGTAATTTAAACAATTGATTTTAATTAATTTTTATTAATTCGTGCTTGTTAAAGATATATTAAATGTATTGTCATTATAGCAATTAGTTGAAAAAATAATAATTTATAGTTGATTTTTGTTTAACTAAAAGATATTAATGAGATTATTAATATGGCAGCATTTGGCAAAGAAACTATAGAAAAGAGAAACTGATAATAGAAAAGATATATATAAAAAACCTTTAAAATTATGGAAAATTTTAGTAAAATATATGAAGTAACTTAACAGAGCAGTGCTTAGATCAGGCATTAGCTGAGAATGGAAAATGAGTTCGTTCTATAGTGGTTATTGTTTGTTGTTTATGCCAAGGTGAGCTATAGAGTGTAGGAAGACAAGAGACTCTATCTCTATAAGTTAATGAACAATTTCCTTTTTTGAAATGATTCTATAGCGTGTGACTTGCGTTGTATGTATTCATTATTTAAGCCCAATTTTTTTACATTTTCAGCAGTCATAGGTTCAACTCTCTCTCGCTCCCTTTTTTATTTGCTCTTTTTTTTTCATGCTTTTCTTATTTACTTACATTTATTTATGGCCTTTTTTTTAACAATTATTGTAAATATTTATATTTGTTTTCAACAATTAATTAAATATAAAAATCTATAACTTTTTTTCTCTTTTTCAAATGCTTTTTTGTATTATGTTACTGCTTATGTGTTGCAACTGTAAATAACAAAAAAAAAAAAAAATATATAAAAACAATATTTTTGTTTCAAAAAAATAACGCTTTTTGTGTGCAACGACTCATCAAATAAATTTTTTTGTTTTAAATAAAAAAAAATTCTTTTAAACAACAAAAATAATGATATATAAAACTAAAAAAAACAACAACAACTATAACTTTTTAACATCAAACAATAAACCTCATCCAAAAAAATAACACAACAACACAAAAACACTTGAAACTAAAAATAAACAAAAAAAACATTAACACATTTTTAAAACAATTAAAACTAAAAAAAACAACAATAACAATAAAAACATAAACATAACAA